TCGAGCCAAATGGGCGGAGAGCCTTTAAACCCCCCTTAAACATCCATATTCAGAAAGCCCCGTTGGGGATTTGAACCATGGTCAACCACATTGTAGTAAAGCATGATACCAACTGAGCATTTGATTTAGACGAAAACACAATATGGAAATCAATCTCACAAATAATTATCATAGTGATAGATGGGGAAATATATAGTTAACATGTGTCCCTCTTCGTTGCTGAGCAAACCAACAAAATTGTTTCAAATGAAATGTTCATATATTTGACGAGTTTACAAATTACTTTTCAAAATTTACATAAAGCAAAATCTGCCCGCATAATTTAGAGCCGAACCCCCCCCCCCCCTCCTTTTTCCCCCCTTTCCTTTTTTCCCCCCCTCCTTTTTCCCCCCTTTTTTTCAAAGGACAAATCCACCAACCATCATGAAACGCACTGGAAATATAAGTCATTTACAGGTGCTTTCATAATATCGTAGGAAGGCGCAATTTAGTTGGGGAACTTTTCAGTTTCCTAATTTTTTTTTAAGGGTAAGAAATGTAAAAAGAATTACCCCTAGAAAACATAACGTTAATAAAGTTGTTCTATTGCTAGCTATGGTGAAGATTTCTGCACCTCAAGAAGGACACAACATTTAAAGAAATTAGATGACAGAGAAATTATGTTTCACACACACACACACACACACACACACACACACACACACACACACACACACACACACACACACAGAGAGTTATGGCATCTCCATAAAAAATAATAGTAATAGGGTTAAAAAAAAGTGTCATACAATGGGAACATTTGTTCTTTTTCGTGTTGTTACCGTTCAAGATGAAAAACATAAAAAACAATAACAATAATAAGTACCAATAATAATAACAGCAAAATAAATGAATAAATAATTTTTTAAAATGAATAAATTAATTAATAAATAAAATATTAATAACAATAAATATAAACAGAAAACAAAACTAATTAAAACGATAACAAAATCATATACAATAACCGGTTCTGATCCCACGGGCTGTTTCATCATATTCACTCACGTTACTCAACGACTGAGGCATCCACAAACACTGATGCAGTCCACAGACATGCACTCACATACATATACAAATATACAATTATAATCTCGGTGACTTATCGACACTCGATCAGATATTATAATCGTAGTCATTACACCTCTGGCAGTTTTGACATTTACGTGCCAGGTCGAAGTTCTGAAATAGCATCAGGTCACAATAAGATACGTTTGAATCTCTATTACAATTGTTCAAAATACACTCACCGAAATCTGTTTGAAGATTCCGGAATAAACATTAGAGTTTTATGATTAGCTGCAATATGACCAGATATTGACCTTTAATGATGGTATTATGATATTTACAGTCTGGATCCTGACAGGTGCAGTTGGAAAGGAGCAATCACAAATCATTATGTGACTTCACGAATTCGAAATTATGCTGACGCCAAGGGTAAACCCCGCAAGCTGTGCACAATCGTGAGTGGAAATGAAGTCATTAAAGCTCAGAATGTGGCAAACTTCTTTCTGCCAGAATTGGTTCCATTGCCCATAGCAGAAGTTATCTTAACATTTATTTCTTCTATTCGGAAATATCCCCATTTTCACATTCATTGGTCATTGTCAGATATTTACGGACGAACTATGATCATTATTTATTATCATTTACAGCTACCGGTACTGGGGAGACACAGACACAATAGTTTCTAAACAGTTTCATACTTGGAAAGTTAAATTGATGATTCGTGCTCTAATTTTTTTAGAGACGCGGGTACGTCGGAAACAGTGTTTACATTCTTTAAAAGTTTAGAAATCAGTCTTACAATGTCTTGCTAGCAGTCTGGGATTATTTAGAGCAAATCAAATAATACTCGAGATCTTGTCACAAGGAGCGTCAGCTTTTTAAAAGTCTAAGCATTCTGGTTAGCAAGCACCCCTTTGAACATTTTAATATTGCTTTTATAAAGTCAGGCGTAAGAATTTAAAATCTATCTCTTTTTTTTTTTTTTTTTTTAAAGTGTTTTACGGCGCTCGCAACTGCATAAGGTCATTTGAGCGCGCGGAACACACCTAACATTTTCAGTTGGTAGGAAATTTTGAATTTTGCCCGG